TTTTGATTTTTTAATTTATTCAAAAAAATTTTTTAGTCTCAGAGCCCCATTTTCCTAGCAAACCTCCCATATATTATTTTATTTTTAAATTAGTTATATCTTATAAAAAATTGATGATTAAAATTTATTTTTATAAGATCTAAATGGATAAATTTCAGATATCAATATATTTAAAATTTATGCTAAATTATGAAAGATCAGAATTTGTCTAGAATTGTATTTAAAAAATTCATATAACAAAAAAATCAAAAGTAAAACCTAAAACCATGAGAAATTTATTATAAATAATATTTTTATCTACTCTGTAAGTTTACTTTAAATGATAAGTAAGAAAAATGCATTTTATTGTATTATAAATGTATTATTATAAGAGGGATTTTTAATAAATAATTTTAAAATTAATTTAATTAATAAGTAAATATTATTTTTTAAAAAACCTTGATAATTTAAATTTTTTATATTTATGCTAAAATTTAATTTTTAGATAAAGTTATCAAAAAATAAGAATTATGTTAATAATAACAAATTATAAGGATTTAAAAATTAAGGTTGTTTTTAATATCATTTGCTAATTTTAAATTAAATAATTTAATTTTTTAAGAGTAAATATTTGGTTATCAAATATTGGTTAATAAAAATGATTTTTTTTAATAATACATATAATATTATTTTATTCTTAAACTTTTATATAATGAATATCAATACTGTTTTTTTTTAAAAAAAAAAATTATACAAAATACTTCATTCATTAACACCTTTTCTAATATAAAATAAAACATTAAATTTAATTTAATTCAATGCCAATATAAATTTTTACTACTGTAATTTAAAGAACCGTTCTTTCATGTTTCGATTGGTTTCTTTGTTTTAAATGAATATTATTTCTGAAGAATTATATAAATTTAGTTGACCCCTATCCGCCAACCATTTAAGGAGTCTTGTTTCTTCTTAATCGTTTACGTTTCGCCTAAAAATATCGTTTAGAATTGTTAAAAAGACATTCTTTATAAACGATATAAATTGTATCGATTAAGATACCTTTAAGTATCCATCATATTTAGCTGTTTTATCACGAGGTTTTGGGGGAGGGTAATGTTTAAGTTTTCTTGGTCTATAAAATTTGTCTAGAGAACTATCATGACGAACTTGAAGAAGTAAAAAGGGTTTAAATAAAGTATTGGTGTTGGTAAATGAAATTGTAGAAGATAATCTTGATGATAGAACCGAAGAAAATCGGCCAAAAAGATTACTTGATAATGAAGAAGACATAGCAAGAACGATCAAAAGGATTGAAAATAAGGATATATATATTACTGACAGATTATCAAATCGTAAATGTCAATTTCAACCAATTAAATAATTCAAACACCAGGTTTCCTAAAACTCTTTTTATTTGGTTTCACAACAATGCAGGCGGCGAAAAAAATTTACCATTAATTTTCTCTTTAAAACAAAATTTCAAGACTCACGAAATGGTTCGTTTTTGTAATTAGTAGATTATACCTTCCAAGTTAACTATTACTATTTTATATTATTATTAATTTTTTTAATTTATAGGGTAACGAACAAGCAAAAGAAGTTCCGTATCAAGATGTTCAACCTCAAAGTACAATTTTTAAACCTATGCAAGGAATGTTTCGAAAGGGAGTTCAATATAACAGTAAGTAAAGCAAATTAATAAGTTTATTTCATTTATTTAATAATTATCTTAATTGATCTTTTCTTCTACAGTGAAAATTATAATACGTGGTGATATTCGAACCGGAAAGACTACATTATGTAAGTGATTTTAATTGTTCATTCGCTGGAATTTGGCAAGATTAATTCAATGATTTTTATTCTAATATTTAGTTAATCGACTACAAGGAGATTCATTTAAAGAAGATTATGTCACAACACCACAGATTCAAGTTGCAAACATACAATGGAATTATAATCAGACAAATGATGTCATCAAAGTGGAAATTTGGGATGTAGTTGATAAGGGAATTAATCCAGCGTCTATTAGTAAAAGACCTAATTTATCAGATGGCACTGGACTAAAGATAGAAAATGATCAAGTCGCATCAACTTCACCCGTACAACAGGCAACAGAATTATCACCGGATCAACTTACACTTGATGCAGCAACAATTAATGTATATCGAAATACTCATGGTATCATCTTATTGTTTGATATAACTAAGACTTGGACATTTGATTATGCCATTAAAGAATTAAAATCGATCCCGAGGAATATGGCCGTATTACTTTTAGTATGTTAAATTATTTATTCTTTTGAAATTAAATATATAAAGTTGTTTAATTCGAATCATTTCGTTATAGGGTAATTTTAGTGATTTAAGGTAATTTTTAATATTCATTTTTTTTTAGTTTCTTATTATTTATTCATTTATTATGTCATTAAGAAAACTATTCGCATATAAAGTTCGCAACGTGCGATCCCCCAATCACAAGTTTATCAGGCTATAGCAGATTGTAATAGAATTAGGGTGACTGAATATCCTACAGCGAACATGATTCGTTATGTTGAAACAAGTATGCTTACCGGATTTGGATTGGAATATATACATAAATATTTTGGAGTTCCTTTCTTGCAATTACAGAGAGACATACTTCGACAACAATTGGAATTAAAGACAAAAGAGTTGGCTACCCTTTTAGATACACTTGATAATTGTGAACAAATTCCAAGTTCTGCTCGCAAACTTCCGGAACCTAAACGTATATTTCAAAACATGGTTCTTTTATAATATATAAAAAAATATATTTTTTCTAATAAATTATTTTACTAAATAGAAATGGAAGATAATTTTGTGCAAGAAAAATCATCTTTGAAAGAACAATGGGAAAAAGATTTTCAAGATTTTTCTCAAGTATCTGGTGAGAAAAAAATATCAAGAATTTACGTAAATGTAAAAAAATGGTTAAATAAATTTACAAACATGCTTTCTTACCACTTTGATAGGTGCTGAAATTACGGACGAAATTGTTAAGCCATTATCACCAAAGTTAAATTTAAGTCAAAGCACTTCATCTTCGCTCAAATCAAAACTTAAAGCAGCAACACCTGATATAGCTATCATTGAAGATTTTGATGCAGGAAAACTTGAGGATGATTTCTTTGATGATACTTCTGATCCAAGTTTTGTTCAATCCCTTAATCTTCCATCAAAAGTTGATGTACAGAAACAAGATGATTTTGATTTATCAAATCCAATGGTTACTGCTGATGAAGATCTTGTTGGGGATGTGTATAATGATATGGAAGAAACTGAAGGTGGTAATAAAACTACTAATATTCGTCAGTCACTCGGCTTTAATGGTGATTTGAACGATGTTTGGAAACTCCGTCATACTAGTAATTCTTCTGCCATTATTGCTAGCGATAGTAGTGATGATGATTTAATAACAGGTGCAAAGCACATGAACTTACTGGAACGTAGACCTTCGAATGCAACATCTCTAATTGAAAAATCACGATTGAGTCAAGAATTAAGAGCATTAAGAGAAGAAAGTAACTTTTTAGATCCTGAAACATCCAAATATCCGGAACATGTTCTATCGATGATTAATAATCCTTATTTGGAATCAGATAATACGGGAGTATCAAACTCATCAAAAGTACATCATTCTTTTGACATGGAAGAATATACACCTATGACTTTCGGAACCCCAAGTGCTTATGAAGAGATAGGTGAAGGTCAAGATAATCCTTGGTTGGAAGGAGATTCTAATCAACAAATTAAAGATGCGAATATTTCTTCACCAACGACTCAATCACGTGAATTAGTTTTCAATTATCCGGTAGAACAAAAGTCCTCAAATGATCACCTAAATCGTAATTCAGAGGTAAAATATCATTTAATAATATAACTTATTTACTTTAACGAATCTCTAAAATCAAATATTTAAATATTTAGTCAGCAAAAGATGAAATGCATCATAAAAACCTTCATCTGCATCACCCTAAACCATTTGATGAGGAATTAATATCATCTTCCCCATGGGGAGGATTGAATAAATCAAACATACAAAGTTTACAAAATACAGAGGATTCATTATTGGATGCTTATATCAAAAGTATGAAGAAAGAGAAGACGAAAGAACAATCAATTACGGAGACAGCAAATAAAATACCAAAGAAGAAAAAGAAGAAAAAATCAAAAGATTCTAATACGAAAGAGGAGAATAATAATGAAACAAAAAAAGAAAAATCTAAAAAGAAAAAACAAAAAAGTATTGAAGGTGAAGTTAATGGTGGATTGACTTTCAGAGAAAAGAAAACGAGTACTAAAAAGGCAGTTACAAAATAAAATTTATTTATTTATTTAGTTTATATAATTTGAACAATAATATATAATGTAAACAATTAGAGTGTAATTATTATCTGTAATAATAAGTATATTTGAAATCAATGTTTAAAAATAAAGAGAGAGTAAATTAAGTCCCTTTATATATATGATTTTTATTGATCGACAAATGTTAATATATCCTTATTCGTATAATCTACTATGCGATCATTAATTTTAGTTAAATTAAATCGAGATCAATTTATAACCATTGATAATCCGAATTTCTTCTATATACTCTTCCAATAACCTACTTAACTCATGGTTTCGGCAAAAACTTTAGCTTTTTCTTTAACTTCTTCGACTTGTTCTTCATTACCATGTTCGATTTCAAACTGTAACCATTTTTTAAATAAGAATTTCATCTTTTTTGAGGAAAATTTCAAACTTATAACGCGTTGAAATAGACGTCTAAAGGAATTAGAACATTTTGAGTATTCAACACTGAGAACAACATTTAGAAAAAATTATTTACCTGACAGCATTATAATCTTTAGCTTTAATTTCCATATCAATATAAATTGACCATAAATCAATTCTTTTAGGGTCATTATTCATCATCCCTTCAAATATAGTTCGTCCTCTTTCTACCTCACCATGTTTGAATTCCATTTGAGCGAATTTTGTAATGGTCTTAACGTCTGACAAAGATAAATTTTATATTATGAATTAAATTATTTGATACTAAACAAATCGTCAAAAAATTTAACTTACGTTTTCGTTTTGGTAAAATTTTTAAACTTCTTTGTAATAAAGCTCTCGCACCTTCGATTTTACCATTCTGAATATAGTAGAGTCCCATTTTAATCCAGACTTTGGAGCTTTGTGAAAACTTCTTAATCATAGTATTATAAGTACTTTCTACGAGCTTTTAAATGAATTTATATATATATATATATTATTAATAAAATTTACCATCAAACTAATTCAAATAAAATGAACAAATATAAAAGCACTAACTTCGAGCTTATTCGATTTTTCATAAATCTCTATAAGGATCGTATAGATTTTCTTTTGATCACAAGCTTGTAAAGCTCTAGTAAGAATTTTGGCCATGGTTTCATCACTACCATAATTATTCTCCAAATTCATCAAGGCAATCCATATATTCAACCTCTCTTGTTGTTCTCTGAAATTAATGATTTTCAAAGCTCTTTCACCAATTTCTCTTGCTTTATCGATTTCAGATAATTTAATTTGATGAACCATATATTGCATCCATAGATACGAAGAATTGGGTGATCCTATTAATAATCTTTCAAAATCCACATCAACTTCGGGTTTTTGTGTCATTAAATCACCAGTTTTATCAACCAATTCAAGATGTTTGGATTTTTTCTTATTTTTTTTCTTTTGAGACATTTGCTCGTCTTCTAATTCAAGCTCTGAATGATTTGGTGAAGTTTCTTCTCGATTTGAACGTTTTTTAGAGGAATCATTATCCTCTTCCCATTTCCAAGAACCTGAAATCGATAATGGTGCAACTTCATTCTGTTCATTAGAATCTATTTGTAACTCGATTATATCATCATCTTCTTCACTTTCAATATTATTTGAATTCTTATCATATGAATCGATTTCCCAATGTAGGTTCATTGATCTGGATTTATCGGCTAAATCTTTATCAACCTATATAAGATGATGATGAAAAAATCAACTTAAAATTACAATAAATATGTTATTGCTTATAAAATTTACCTCCATTTGCTCATCTTCCGAACCCTCTTCTGAACCCTCTTCTTCACTCTCATTTTCATCCGTATCCATTTGATCGTCGTCACTATCAAAATAACTCTTCCTCATGACAAAACCGACCTTCTGCTTCTCTTTATCAATGCTCAAAATTTTTGCTTTGACTTGATCTCCAATTTTAAACAAGCTACTCACTTCCTTAACATAATCATCAGATATTTTTGATTTATGACACAGTCCACTTACAATACTATGATCAATCTTTATAAATATTCCATAATTTTCCACACCCGAAACAGTACCTTTAATAACTTGACCTTCAACAAAATCATCAATAGTTTTTGTTCCTGATATTATTAACTTATCATCTTGATCTGATGCTATAATAGATACCAATACACGATGTTGTAAAGTGTGCTTTTGAAATGCGGAATCTTTAAATGATTTTTTGTGATGATGATGAGGCACGTGAGTTATTTGAACTTTGATGGTTTGTCCAAATTGATATTTCATAAAAGGTGAGGAACGATTATTAAAGGTCTTTGATGCTGCGAATGCTATAATGTTAGATTGCCCGGGTAATGACACAATAATATAATCTTCTTTAACTTGTTCTATTATCGCATCGATCAATGTCTTTTCATTTAAAAGCTTTTTCAACTCTTTTCTCTAGAATGAATTAGAATTCAAAATGTTTTTTCTTTTTTTTTAGTAATTTATGTTAAAAAAAAATTTATAAACGAAAAAAAAACTCTTACGCTAACGACACTGTCGGTAATATTCTTGTTTTTGTTTCGCTTCATTTTATGTCGAATGCCCAAATCAATATTCTTTCCTTTCATATCCATATCAAGGATGACACCCTCTATTTGATCACCTTCTTTAATATCACTACTAGTATTAGCTTGTTCTTCGCTAATTGTTCCTTTGATCTTTTTGGAATTATTTTCATTTACCATAATAACTTTAACTTTCCAACCTCCATGATCATCATCATTCATATCCATATCCTCATCGTCTTGTTTAGATGGTAATCTTTTCTTAACCAAACACTTTACACGTTCTCCGATCATTACTTTCATGTCTTCCTGCCTAGTCGAATTTTTTCCCACATGTAAAAGTTCCTCAAAATAAGATTTAATAAAATTACCTTGATTAATAAATGACAAAGATTTGCTAATGGAAATTTCTGATGGTTTTAATGAAATATCGAATTTTGTTGTTTCTTTATCAATATGCGTTATTAAACCAACAATTGATTGATTAACATGAAAAATCCCAACTGGGCTAGCAATAAAATGATCTGCTAATTTCTGTTATGAAAAATATGATAATAATAAGTATCAAATATACGAGATATATAATATATTTATATATATATTTATACATCAATTCATCAAATGATCTTAAAAATTCTCTTAAATAACTTAATAACTCACGTCTCTTGTAGCTCTAGAACTAAATCCTCCCAAAAATCCTATGAAAACGGCGTAATCGGTAACACTTTTGACGTACCCACACACTATGTCTCCTACTTTAATATCATCTAATTTTCCTGGGAACTTATTATTCATTTTCGCTTCAATTAATAAAGGTTTTTTTGTTACATTAATGAAACCTTTTTGTTCATTTTTTGCAAGAACCATTAAATTACTTAAAACGTCATTAAGATGTATTTGTTCTTGAATGTGCGATAAGTGAGAAGGAGTAATATGATCTGAAAAATGAGAAATGGATAGGTGTGCACGAATTTGAGAGGGTATAAGGGATAATATTATAGTATTATCTTTGATTTGTAAGATCTTTCCTTTTGTTATCTGATTGTAGAGGATAGAATTAATAGGGAAAATGATAAGGTAATGATAATAATAATAGCAAAAGTATGAAGTTAAAATATTGAAAGAATATACTGAATCTAGAAAAAAAAATTTTTATTATGACAATAAATCAAAGATTTGATATATTAAGCATTCTTACTTACATCACCCAAATTAATTTCACTTAGATCACAATTTGTAGCATCATTAATTTGGAAACTTCCCATAATCAATTCCTTATCCTTTACAACTTTCGTGATCCTACATTTTACAATCTGTCCGATTCGAAAATGATCTTTTGGATTCTTTATCGATTCAATACCACATTGATTAATCGGTATAAAAGCTTTTAACCCACCAAAGAATTGTACAATACAACCTTGTCCTATAATCCCGGATATGATTCCATGAGTAACGATTCCGGATTTAATATCATCAAATGATTTGAAGATTGGCAAATCGGAATTTATAAGTATAGGACGGAAGGTAACGTAAATATGATTTTTAGGCGGGTCCGTGTTAAGAACTCGACACTTATGAGTAGTTCCAATTTTGAATTTTTGAGATGGATGAGTAAATATTTTGTCGGAAAGGTGTGTGTTTGGAGCTAATGCTGTTATATTATCAGATAATGAAACCAAAATTCCATTGTCTATAATGTTTATAATTTTACACTAAAAATTTGAGAAGCAAAATAATCTCATTAATTATAATATAATTATAAATTAATTAGTTAATGAATGAGATTATTACCTCTGTAATTTCTCCAATGTTGACGTCATCAAATCTAAAATATTTTTGTTCCAGAACAGACTTCTTGGTTGATAATAACAAGAGATTATCAACGGCAGCAAATCCAATTACACGAGCTCGATGAGCTGAGCCTGGTATCAAATCATTTGTGTTTTCTGAATCTGAAAACTAAAGTTAAATCAATTAAGTTACTTTCTACTAAATTAACAAAACCTTTAATGAATAAATTCATCGTGTAAACTTACCCGAACATATCCATTAATATTAATACTTTCAATTTCCACCAATACACCTTTACGCCTATCAACTTTTTTGACCGTAACATTTTCCAGTATTTCCCCTATCGGAGCCTTATCAATTGACATCTCTCTGTCAATATCTAATTTAGTTTGTTCCAATTTAATAACATGCGGTGAAAGAGATAATCTTATCCTTTTGGCCTCAGTTGTGAAAGAGACATAAATAATTCTACCATGAACTTTGCGACCTATTTTAAAATTCTCATGGAATTCTTGAGAATCTTTCAAGATTTTTGGACCATGGAAAAAATCAATGACTCCATCTAAAAGACCCATTACCTTTACACGTAAACCATTTGAACAAACTTCTGTTACAATTGCTGTAATTAAATTTCCAGGAAGAAGCGAACAAATATTATGTACTGTAGCATCAGAAATTCTTGTTTTAGAAACAATTTCTGGATCTGCTGTCAACTTAACAGTTCGCCTGTTGTCCAACTCATCAATAACACTAACGGTAATAACTTGTCCCACAATAAATTCATTACCATCATTATAACTATCTATATATTTTTTCGCGTCATCATTATGCAAAAATCCACTGATACCATCCAATCCAATAGAAAGAATATATCCATGGTCTTCCAAACTTTCAACGGAAGCTGACATGACCTAATTGAAAAAAAAAGAAATTTTCAATAAGCATGCCATTTACTTGGAAGGAAATCTAATAAAAATAACCAGTTTCATTATAAATACCATTCCTTTAGACAAGTCAGTAACTATTATATCGGAATTAACTTCATCTGGTACTAACGTTAGGTGAATACGCCAATGTTTTGATGTAGCGGTAACCGGAGATTCAAGACGAGAAACTTTACAACGAATCCATTGACCTATTCTAAATAACGACGATAATTCTGGTAATTGATTTTTATCCTTTTCACTCTCATCCTTGTCATTCTCATCGTCGTCATCATCATCATCTTCTTCTTCTTCTTCGGAATCGGAATCGGAATCGGAATCTGCCATGCTGGCAACAATTTTGGATAGCGATCGAGAAACTTCATTTATTGAAACATACCCTACCATTTGATACGGAAGTGATACAACCAAATTCACGGAATTTACTTGTACAATTCGTCCCAACAAATATGCTCCAACGTTAAGATGCTTGAAAGAAAATAAATCAAATAAAATTATCATCATATAATAACATTATACGAATAAATAAAACTTACTTGAATTGACAATAATTCCACCGAATCTTTTTTGAAATTATCAAACTTAGCATCTGCATCCTTTGCAAATTTCAATGATTTTGATTTTGATACGGATTTTCTCTTTTTCTTGAAAGGCAATTCTTCTAACTCCTCATCCGATGATTTATTGCCTTCATCCTTTAAGGAAAATAAATTTATCCCATCAGTTTAATGATAAAACAAATCAGAATTTTTCGTGAAATTTATAAACTTACATCATTAAAGATACCATCTCGATGGTTTCTTTCCTTTCCATTTTTAATTGAATACTCGGATGCCTTACCACCTCTAGGAAAATCACTTATTTCTGCCTTAGTATCTTTAAAAGAACTTCTCACGATCGCATGTTCATTCTTTTCTTGCGTATTCACTTTAGGATAATTGGATCCATTCGATATAGATTTTTTGTTTCCCGGTGTTTGGTCTTTTTTATCTCCGTTGGAAATTTTTGAAGGAACAGAGGATGTAGCTTTTCTTTTCTGATTTGTACGAGTCATAGTTAAATCTATTATCTTTAATCCAACAATTTTGATAAGGAACCCAACTCCGAAAGAAGTTGTATTGAGAACAGCGACTTTAAAGATGTGATTCGAATGGTTAAAATTTTACATCAAATTTTTTTTGATTTTGTTACACGGAAACCACGTGATATCAATCACGATCTTTTTGACCAATCATTGATACAACACTTAATTTCGCCAACATTAATTCGTTTGACCAGAATTATAATGAATGACAATTTTAAATTATAATTTATTTTTCCCTTAAACAAAATGAGTATTTTTATATATGATGTCATTAAAGGATGGACACGATGAACACCAATTAAAAATCGAGAGTCAATATGGTAATAGTCGACGACACCCACGTGTTAAATTTAAATTATTATCGCGCGAAAGATTTACAAGGTTTAACCGATCGGGGTGTTTTTTTTTTTTTTTTTACAAACAAAATTTCAAAACCGCAACACTGCGGACAAAACCGAGATTCTTTTTATCCCACATCACTTGATCTAAACGCCCATCTAGAAAAAAATCATTTTCTGACTCGTAACACATCGTTATCATTTCTTGGAATCGTACTTTAACTTGTGGCACTTGAATTTCTTTAACATTTATAACAACACCCGCCTGCATGTAAAGTTTCAGTTAGTTTCTTTGACGATTATCAAGCTATTATTTATATCATAATTCATACATAACATCATCTTTTGGGGGTGAATTAGATGTCGGAAGATGCATTATAAAAAAAAAATTTTTTCATATGTCTGTCTTCTGTACGCTATCATGAAAATAATGTAAAATGCGTTGAAAATCGTAATAAGAATTTTCTTGATTGGGCTGAAATTATCAATGGACAGTCAATCAATTTCCATATTTAAAATATAATTTATAAAGATCCAAATTTAGAATAAACATCAAAACTGTATAAAAAAAAAAGAAATTCAATAAATTTTTTTTACTGTGCTGTACCTTACATTACATTCCTGTCTTTTGAGGCTGGAGTTGGCGTTAAATTCCCTTAATAGGATTAAAGATATGTGATTACGACATGCACAATGCCTCGTAAACTTTCATATCTAGGCAGGTTTCTTTCTCCAGTGAATTCCTTGAATGTTTTAAACAAAATAAATACTTCGATGGATACCAATATATCTACGCACAACCATAATGGCTCAATAAAACCTGTAATTTTTTATAATGGCAGATTTCATTTTGTTGAAGAGGATACCGCTGCTAAGTTCCATTTTGATACAGACTATGCTTTATTTCAAATATATAACTTAAAAGTATGTTGGCGGGTACGCAGAAAAGGCGGGAGACGGGAAACTTGTCATGTTATTTCGGGAAGAATATTTCTTTTTGAAAAACCTTTTATTTTCCGCTCATTCCGATACTTACCTTTGCACAATAGGGTACAAAACATGATATTATTGAAGCAATTACAGACGTTGCGGGACCCGCGGGTTCTATATCTTTCTTGAATGATTTTGAAAGAACTTTTTCAAGATGCTCGGATCATAGGATAGAATTAAGAGCTGGCTCATCTATCGAAATAAATGATCCGGCTAAATTAAAGGTAATAAGATAAGGTTTTTGTCGTTTCATTATTTGCATCTTCTAAGTTGAATTTTTTTACTTTTTTCACAGGTCAAAATCAAGTTTAGTAATAAATCTCATGTTGACGTTGTGGAAGGTCTTCGAACATCCACTTCAATTGCCGAACTAACTCTTAATGGCTTTGCAGATTGGGTGCCATTAGATAGCACAAGTTACGAATGCATTATACAATCATCAGAGACATCGCATGATAATTCGATTACAAAATCAGAATCAGAATCTAGGCACACAATCTTACGAGCTTTAAGTGATAATATTGATCCGGTATTGCTAGACGTGGTTATTGATGATTTGTTGGATGATTTTGAATCTGGAGCCTTCAGGAAATTATTTCCCGGTCCGATCGTACGTGTCGATCGAGGCATTAATGAAGTTGTCATGACCGTAGTTTTGACACGTGGTCGTTACCCATTTGATGAAGATATGGGAAAGATATTCATTGAAATTCTCAATGCTTTAATTCAAGATCGCAAAATTGAAAAAAAATTTGATAAGGTACGTTTAGAATATGTTTTTTACATTCGCGGAATATTTAATCACCAATCAAAATTAATATCAATTTTTTTACATGATGTATTTATAGCATATATATGATTCGTTTTTCCTGTTGGTGGTGCGTATATTAAACTTGATACGTGATTTGGTTCATCTGAACGAGACATATGAAGATTTTCATTCACCTGGAGTATGTCCGTTATTTGCTAATTCAATAAAATTTATGAAAGTCAAATATATTGAAAGTCTTACTGACTTGGAAAAAGCATTAATTGACATTGGATTTGATAATTTTGAAGGTAAATTGAGATGCTTTGCTTGCATCTGATAAGGAAATTTGGATTTAATTTACTATCAATATTCCCATTTTGCAGATCGCCTTCAAGAACTTACGATGATGATTCGTGAGGTGGATCGTTGCGTAGAAACAGCATATGGAAATTTACAAGCTGATGTAGAAAAATGGAAAAAACGCAGAAGCATGGCCAATTTTTCTTATTTTTTATCAATGTAAGTTGAAAGTTATTTTGCAAGTGATTTATCAATTATCAACACATCTCTATATATCTATATATTTATTTAAATTTAAAATAAGAATAATAATAATTATTATTATTATTTTAACCTATTTCTTTCAAAGACTTATAGCTATTGCATTACCATCGATATATCATTATTATCGTCAAACAGAATATGTTCCATTTGGTCCCATAACGGTAGAAAATATTTTTAAATATTCTCGATTTTTAATCATTTCATCCTATTAATTCGTTTATTATCATTTCCTTTTTTTTAAGTCAATACTTGGATGCGTTCTTGGTTTTTTTTGTGCATTTTGGCATGGATGGTCACGTAATAGTTATGATAAAGCTATTTCATCGCATAGGAAAGCCATACCAATTCATTCTTCTACAACACAAAGTTTAGATTCATTGGAAAGATGGTTAAATAGAATTTCAATTGTTAAAAGATGTAAAATTCCAATGAATTATAATGAACTTAAAGGAAGAAAGGCAATCTTATCTTACCTTTTTGATGAATTGGTCTCTTCTGTTGCAGAATTGAGACTAAGCATTTGTTTAGAGGATGAACTCAGAAGATATAGATAATATTTATATATTTATAAAAGGAAATTTTAGTTGTTTTATATATATAATGTTTCTATTTATTTATTTATTCTTTTTTTTTTTTTTTTTTTTTTTTTTTTGAGGATTTTAATTAAGGTATTGATTTTTCATGTACTTAATGTGTACATGATTTATTTATTTATAAAAAAAAAAAGTGATACTTGGTAAAATAAATTTTGCACATTGAAATATAACCTTTTATTTGCCAAACTCTCAAAATCTCGATGATTAGTTATCATGAAAGAGTTAATTTTATTGAAACATAAATAGTATTTGATTATGTTCTTTGGTGAAACATTGTTGAAAATCACCAAGATGGGGGACATGTTCTCTCATTATATGATTTCTGAAGTATTTACAACACCTTTAACAATTCTGTCGCGACCGTTGGATCGGTACGCAAATAATGCGCGGCGATACCATCTTGAGGATCAAAACAAATTGTCACGTTACTATCATGGAGGTGCACTCCCACATTTAATAACTCTTTGCAATATTCATTAAAATACTTGTAGTAACCAAAGAAATTAAAAGAAATTAATAATTATTATTATAATTTATTTTAAAATATATTACGTTGTATAATAAAAAGAAAAGCAATTAAAAATCATCAGAATTTCGAATTCATTTGCGTAATATAAAAAGGCTTTTTTTTTTGTTTTAGATTTGCCCTTCTTGTCGAGTAATAAACGATTTAGTTTCTTAATACTTATAGTGTAATTTTTTTGGGATGGTTAATAATAATAATGTTTAGAGTTTCAATGCATTTGCAAAACATAAATAAACAATCTTATAATATTAATAACCAAAAAAAAAATTTTTTTTTTCCACTTAAATAGATAAACAATAAATAAGGTTTTGGTTGAAAGATTTTCAGTATTTTTTTTTTACATGATCTTCGTGTTCTCTAAAGGAGATTAGGGTTTGATGTAATCTTTGAGTGAAACTCTAAAGAATCAATTGAAACATATCTATTGTATGAAACATGTGTAATAGCAGTACTTTTTCTTGGTTTCTTTATCCGACCTCCCGATAATTTATGTTGACATACTGCGCCAACTTATGAAAAGTGACGACAAAAAAATGTTCAGCATATAATTTTGATATATTTGATTCGATTCATTAATTTGTATTATTTAAAAGGCATAAAGAAGACGTATTTGTAAACAAATCGTTAACTCATTTCAATTCCTTTTACTAAGGTACAACAAAATTAAAAAAATTTATTTCCCATATTTGGAAAATTTTCAAGTCAGGAGATGGTACAAACAGTGCGAGAAAATAATTATTTTTATAAGGAAAAAATAGAAATATTGTTCAAACCAATGTTTGTTTGCTTTCCTATTATAATCATTAGAAAAAAAAAACTTGTGTATAAACAAATTCTTTCTTTCTTATTAATAAAGATTATAAAATGCATAAGTGTAATCAATTTGATTGGTCTCCTAATTTTATTACCTATATTCGTTATCCACATGTTCTTTAATGGTGGCGCAGACAACATACAATAAAAAGAGAATGTTTCGTATATTCGGCATGAAATCTTTATGGTTTTATTTTTAAATATCATTGGTAGTATGTTATCCATATGAAAGGATTTCTTTTTCTTTTTAATTATAAAGTTTGACCTTTCTTTTTCTTTAATATTTTCTTTATTTTGTTTCAACTTTTAAACCATAAATAAAAAGATCAATTATTTTTTTGTAAAAATAAATCAATAAATTTCAAAAAAAAAAGAGAAAAGAAAAGAAAAAAATAATCTCCAATAAACTCGAGTGAATATAATATAAATAATTTAATAACTCGGGGATATTTTTTTCTTTTCTTTTTTTTTTTTTTTTGCAAGCTTGTCCTGAAGGTTGAACTTAGGTCCAGAAAAATAAAAATATATTTATTTTTAGAGATGCAAGCGGAAAAACGACAACCGTATTTAGGAAGTAAACAAGCATTAAGAGATTATACAACAACATATTTCGATAGGGTTTATAATTATTTAAGAATCTTACCGAATGAACCAATGCCATCATCATTTCCTTTATTACCATCAGAATGTTGCTTTAGATGTAAAACACCGTATATAATAAATTCGATATTATGGTGTAGGGAATGTGAAATAAGGTTATTTATTGAAAATTTTGGTAATTGGACGAGTGGAATAGTAGGATTAGATGAATTCATCAAAAGGACTCAGTTGACAACGTCATGTGAGGGAGGTTACTTGAAATTTATTCCTTTTAAAGAATTTGAAAATAATTTATTGTTAGAGGAAGGTGGATATAGTAAAGTTTACCTTGCTTCTTGGAATAATGGACCTTATTTTGGTACCATGAAAGGTTGGATGAATGAAATGGAAAAACATCATGATGAATTTATTTGGAAATTGGTTTATGAAGAGGCTCCTAGTTACGTTAGAGAGTTTGGTGTACAAAAGATACAAGACAATACACAAAATTTGTCTAGTATCAAAAAAAAATCGGATGGGTGGACTAAAGTTGTTAAAAAATTTGGGTTAAGGCATAAGAAACGGTTATCACCATCTCAACCTACCGAATTGAAATTATGGTGTGATCGTGTTCTTGCAAGAATTGAAATTGAGGTATTTTATTTTTGATTCTTTTTGTGTGTATATCTTTTATATTTATTTATTTATTTTTATATAATTTTGATAGATTACAAAAGGGAACTTTTCATGTGATAAGAACACAACAGGGTCCCAATATGTAGCTCTTAAACAATTAAAAAATTCAAAGAATTTTGGAATTGAATTTGTTCATCAGGTAATGTATATTTAACCTCATTTTTTAAAGTAAATTTAAAATTTTTTAATCCCCTTTTTCATCCCTTTCTTCCAGATTGAATCATGTTTTACTATAATAAATTCATGCAAAAGTCCAAAACTTTACGGAATTTCTCAAGACCCAGAAACGAACGATTATATATTAGTCATGCAATACGCAAACGGAGGAGATTTACGTCAATATCTTCAAGATAATTTCGTTGAAATTGATTGGGATCAAAAAATTTCCATTTTATTAAATGTGGCCAAAGGATTGAAGGATATACATGATCAAGGATTTGCGCATCTTGGTATTCATGACGGGAATATTTTATTAAACCTTTCAAAATCTTTTTTAGAAGAAGAAAGTGAATGTTCACTAAACCATGATATATTGATTTCGGATTTTGGAATGTACACACCAGAAAATGAATTTTCAAATTCATCTTCACATCAAAAAAATTATGGTTTGATACCTTATACGGCCCCCGAAATATTATTTAATAGCAACAATGACGAATTATATACGGCAGCTTCAGATATTTATTCTTTCGCAATGATAATGTGGGAATTGACGTCAGGTCAACCACCTTTTGTTCATCTTGCTCATGATGAGGATTTAATAGGAAAGATTATTGATGGTTTACGTCCTGAAATCACCAGGGGAACACCAAAATTTTATTTGGATTTAATGAAAGAATGTTGGAATCACTTTCCATTTAAAAGGCCAAACATTGATGAAATCATTAAAGTGATTGAGAGTTGGAATTTAAAACCCGAATTAATAGCAAAAGCCGAAATGGAACGACAGGAAATGATTAAAAGTGATTATTTGATTCTTTTGAACAATTATAAACCACATCATGAAACTTATTACTTTAGTAGTATTCTGAACATTTAAAAAAAAAAAAAATACATTTTATTATACTTTATTCACAAAATTATAAACATTTATTAAACATTTATAAATTCAAATCTAATTTCATTATTTGCATATAAAATGGTAAGTAAAAATCTTTAATTGATCATATTAACACTTAGTTAAGTTATTCCTTTTGAATATAATATAATTAATTAACATGTAAAGTATATTAATTTTATGAACGTATTATAAAAAAAAATGTAAAGCTTAGCCTAATGATTTAAGTTACAATTTTATATTCTAATCCGTAAAACCTTTTTTTTAAAAAACATTGAAACCTCGATCTCATTAATAAATAATTTACGGTTCGCATACTAAGATGTATTTACGCGTAATAGAAATCTGTACAATACTTGTATCTTATAAAAATCGGTCCTTCTTTTGAAAATTTATTATTGACAAAAAGAAATACTGTAAGAACGAAATTTGTTTGATGAATTCCAAAATTTAATTTTACCTATGAAAAAATAACAAAGATTGAAAAAGATAAATCCCGGATTTAGTCTCTTCTCGATGATATTAGATCAGATTATTACTGTTTGATCATCATGGTGGTTATGCTGCGCCAATTAAGTGATATTTTGTAGTCACATGATTAAATATTAGGTGATTAAAAAAAAAATTGTAAAAAAAAAAAAACTAAAAACTATGCAGCTTTCTTCTACACTTCGTTCATCTCTTCTGATATCCACTTTTACAAAATTATTCAAAAATCCTTCATCCTCTCTTTTAAAAAAATATAATCATGTTCCTAAATATACAAATTTTTCATTCAAAGGAGAAGATGAATCACATTCAATTTTATTTGATCCTAACGGACCTTACACAAATTCGCCAAGATATAAGAGAGCTTTAGCACCAAAAGTAACTGACTTGAATGATTTAACAAAATTAGAGAAGAATGTTTTTATCAATCCTTATGGTGAGTTTTGTAATAATAACCCTTTTAAATTAAAAATTAAATCGTAAAATGAATGAATTTTTTTTTTCCTCCTTTAAAGCTTCAATGATTGGAGGACCCATTCGACAATGCATTTATCATCAAAGATGGTTTCCCAAAGGTATAATGTTGTTGTAACTTGAGAAAAATTTATCAAATTTTGTAATAGTTTCCTTAAGAAACTTTCATTTCACTTTCACTTTACAGATTTCTTGGTAAGGTTTATAAGAGCTTACGATGATGAAACGTCTTCAGTATGGATCGTACCAGATTTTATGGAAGAAGGCGGTACAAAAAGACCTGGTAAAGGTAATTGGATAAGATGCAATGCAAAGACATTACTAAACGTTTTAAAAGAAGGTATTCAGCTCTAAAGAAAAACTTTCAAAAATATTTTCTTTTTTTAAAAATATTTTTTTTTAAATCCTTTCATTTATTATTAAATTAGGTAAATATAAAATGATCGATAATCAAGCATATTGGAGAAAAGATATGCAAGAACACATTTGGAAAATACTAGTAGAAGATTCTATATTAAGGTTTGATAGAATTATTGATAGGTTGGGAACACATAGGTTTCCTATGAAGAAAGAAAGTGCTTTTCATCCAGTGATCAAAGCAGAAAATTCAAATCGTTTTGAGAGTTATACTAAGCCCATTTTGGGACTTAATTGTGTACTGATGCTTGAAGATCCTCCTCCCAATAAAATAATTGATGATGATGATGATAATGATGATGATGATGATGATGATGAATCTCGAGGTAAAAAAAAATCAAAGAAAAAATCTGATGATTCTTATATACCTTTAAAGATTTTACCGAATCATATTGGATCAATTGAGAAAGTATCTTATATCTCACATAAAGATGATATTTCTGATAAATTTGATGATGTGAACTTTGTAACTCGGAACATTCCTTTCTACTATGTTAAAACTATTTGGGGTGATGAAGGAATTGAGAAAATCAAAAATTATTTAAATTTAAGTCAACGACATTCTATGATCGGTGTAGTAAGTGCATCACAAACCAAGCAGCTTGCTATATCTTTATGGAAATTGAGAAATTATTGGCAATAATTTAATCGAAATCAAAAAAAAAATTTCAGCTGTGGTTTTCATTATCAATTTAATTTAGCAGATTATCGTAGAGATTGGTGAAAAAAATGACATGTGCGCCAACCTTGGATGTTATATCTTTTTTTTTAAAAAAAATGGAACGATTAAAACCGAAAAAAATTTTCATTTTTTCATTATAAAAGCTCCATTGAAATCCATTTTATAAAAAAGAAAAAAATATGTTTCATCCAACTTGTACATTCACAAATATAATCGCGATATTCATACATAAAATGATCGATAAGATCATTCAATTAACCTAAAATAACCGTTAATCTTTCTCAAACTCGGTTTCAACGACGTAAACCCTCTTAAATCATCATAATCCATCATAATAATTCAATAGTTCTTTGTATTCTTTGTATATTATTTACCATATTATGATCGATGCAGCCAGTAGAAAAACTAGTATCTTGATTATAAATTTTTAAGATTTTACAGTTGTAAAGTTACCTATTTATAATCCGAATGCTATTGTTTGAATGAAAACATTAAAATTACCCGCGTAACAAAAGATAAAAACATAGTAATATCAAGGTCAAACGATTATATACCTACAGTGACGTTTAATCATATTATATAAACTTTTACGGTTACAAACTTATATATTTTTTCTGAAGAAACTTTCGGATGAAATTAATTTAATTAAATTTTCCGTCGATATACAACTATATACCGTAAGTTATCAAATATCGAAGAATGTATAATGTTGAAATCAACGAATGTTATCAGTAAAAAATTAAAATTTATGAAGTGAGTTAATTTTAATTTGCAAAAACATTAATAGAATTATTTTGATGGGTGAAAAAAAGGAAAGAAGAAAGGTACAGTATTCCTTTAAAACCAGTTTTAAAGAAACATTTATAATTGTACAAAAAGATTAAAATAAAGATTAAATTATAAATATATTTCTTATTAATTATATTAGTATAAATATCCCAAAAAAATTAAGCCCCATATCTAAATCTATTATTTGTAGTATTTGGTTAGATAATTAATATGTTAAAGGAAAGAAATAAATTATGTTCATTGACAAAGAATCCTTAGCAAGAGAAGCTTCATACCTTGAACTTTAGCCAAAACTACAGATTTTATTGGAGAAGGGAATGTAAATTATGGTACATTAGTCATTAATCGATCATATTTGCTATAATTAGATCGATTTGGTAATGCGGTGGTGGGCGCGACTTTTCTATTATAATAAACTTCATTTACAGGTGGTGGTGATGATGGATTTCTTTGATAAGGAGTTAAAATTGCGGGGTCTTTATATACATAGCCATGTCCCGGAGGATAAGGCGAAGGTCTGGGTTGATAATCATATGAATAATTGATCGGATTTGAATATACTTGTGGAGGATTTTGAGGTCGTGACATCATTGGAATTTGTCGCGACGTATTATAATTGTCAATCGATATGCCCGTCATTTTGTTTCCATGAGGTTCCGTTTGGTAATTACTTGTATTATTTACATTTAAGCTTTTATTTAAATCATCATTTTCAGAATTTCTTTGTACAGATATCCCTCCTCTTGATTTATTCTTGCGTAATTCAGGAAGCTTTTTCCGTATGAACATGGCTATAACGCCTACTACAATAACAAAAACAACCATAATACCGAAAACAACTCCAGCAGTATTCGTAGAACTTTTGCTTGCTTTTTCATCATTGGAACTACTAATGGTGACTGTGGGTTTATCAGGTATGATTGTGGATTGAGCTGATAAATTTGGATTTATTGTAGTTTCAACAACTATTGAAGTTGTTGGTGATGCAGATGAAGCAGATGGAAGAGGAGGTTCCGGTTCCTTTTTGGGTGTCAGTGGTAGTAGTGGAGGTGGAGGTGGAAGTGGAGGTGGAGGTGGAGGTGGAGGTACTTTTGGATTGTCCTTTGGATTGTCCTTTGGGTTATCCTTTGGGTTATCCCTTGGGTTATCCTTTGGGTTGTTCTTTGGGTTTTCCTTTGGGATAACGTTTGGGATATCGTTTGGTGCAACTTTTGGTATGTTTTTTGGTGTACCTTTTGGGTTGTTTTTTGGTTCATCTCTTTGTACTTTTTTTGGGATTTCTTTTGGTGCATCGTTTGCTATGTTTTCTGGTTTAAAGTTTTGTTTTCCCTTTGGTGTACCTTTTGGAAGGTTCATTGTTTTGTCTTTCGGTTGGCCTTTTGTCCCAACTTTTGCTTTTACTTTTGGTTGCATTGTATCGTTAACCACTGGTCCTTTATTTTTTTTACTTTTAGATATTTTTTCACCCTTTCCGGACATTTTGAAATGATTTTGGTTGATTGAAAAGAAAGACAGAATTGGGTGGAAGGGGAAGGCGGGAATGATGCAACCAACGATTTAGTTGATTACGGAGGCTTTAATGGGAAGAAATGAAAACGAAAGGAAGAGAATAATCAATCATTAAAAAAGAAAAAAAAAAAAAACAAAGGGGGGAGGAGAAGGGGTGAACAATATTTTTTTTCTATCAACGTGAAAAATAAATGCAGAAAGATACTCACTTTTATTAACTTTATTAGATCACCGTTCAAAACACTAAAGGAAGTTAACGTGATTAAACACAACCCTATTTTCAACACAGGAGATCAAAATTTTGTCGTTTTGAATTTACTATAAGTTGATGTACAGTCACTCAATAAAATATATAAGATAAAAAAGAAAGAAAGAAAAAGGAAAGTTTTTTTCTTATAAATGCGAAATGTAAAAGCAAAAAAAAAAAGAGGGAAAAAAAAATAATAATAAAAAATAAATAGATCATATAGTTCTATTTATCATTTTATTTCAAAAAATAATTTATCATTTTAAATCATTGAAAATTTCAACTTTTCCTAAAATGAGCTAAGAGACTCTCATCTGAAACAATTATTGGTGTTAAAATTTTATTTGATGGTTTCATAATCCTAAATATTTTGACATCCTTGTTCAGATTCTGGTGAATATTTTGATAAAAAAAAAACATTCAAGAATTGCAACATTATTGATTAGACAAGGAAAAAAAAAAAATCGAATTATTGTTTCTTTTTATGGGAATAATTGATAAAGGAATCTATCAGCTTATCGATTATGATACAACGTTCCCAATTTATTTTGTTTTGCTGTCTTAATTTGTTATAAAACAAGGTGAAATATAAATAAAAATACAAAGTTCAAAAAGTTGATAAAATGAATTACCAAGACCGCAGCTAAACATCCGAAGCTCCATCCACGTGCTAATTTCTTTTTACCAAAAAGCACTACATTCTGAAACACGGTTTTTTCTTTAAACAAACATGCATTCATTAATAAAATTGTGCATTGTGTTGATCTCGGTCATTATTAAATGACTGTAATAATTAATTTACTTGCCATTTAATAAACTTTCGTTGTTTCTCCGACGTTAAAGCTTATGAGGGTTCAATTAATTCCTAATGGTATCAAACGTTAATCAATGATGTAAACTCAGATGAACCCGCCCTTTTTTAATCATTATGAAATGTCGCTCGTCCCAAATATAATTAAGCCCGAGCGCAGATCATGAAATGAACGAACAATGTTAAAAATCAATTAATACATGAGAAAATTGAACGTTAAAGGAGAAACTTCATTAGATAAAGCTGGCAAACGATGAAATAACAGCTGATTCCAAGTAAATAGCGCGCACCCCGGTGAACTTAATTATCGCTTTAATTTAAAAATTCCTTTAAATTATTAAATTCTTCCATAATTGTTAACTATCCGGTAAATAGTTCGCTTGAATTAGGTTAGACCTATGAAAATTAATCTATTAGCATGACTAACATTTCCAAATATGACCATTTCATGAATGAACAATTAAATTAGATCCGAAAAGTAATTTTTACGAATTTATTTGATCGAGTTTATTGGACGAATTTTTTTTTTTCCTTTGAACAAATAAAATTTTATCTTTATATATGACAATATAATAATTTCAAAACGAGACGTATTGTTTCCAATATCAATTCTGACATAACATTTAATTCCAAGCTCAGATCTTTAAAATGACCATGATTTCACATGTAGATAAGTCATTATTGAATATATTCGTGAATACTATAATTGATAAAGAACTTAATATATTTATTTACATATGCACTACAGTTGAACCTCACTATAACGAATTTCTATATTCCGAATTTTTTATTATAGCGAATTACATGAGTGTGGTCCCAAAATTTATTAAATAAAATTATTGAATATAACGAATTTTTATACTATGCGAAACGAATTGAAGATCCTGACCAAGTATAATAAATGGGACTTTTGTTAACGAAGTTTTTTTATATAACGAATTTTTATATTAAATTTAAGGGATATAACGAATTTTTTTTCTTGTATTACTATTAAAGGAAATGTTACATAAATTTTAATAAAGTATAAATTAATAATTTAAATATTTGCAAGAAATGATAAAATATGTAAAATTATTTAATAAATTTTTATAGGGATTAATTAGTGTTGAACCTTAGATTAATTGGTGTCAAATCTAGGATTAATCAGTGTTGAATCAGTGGTGATTAATTAGTTGATTCAATTTATTTAATTTCTATAATTCAAATTGAAATTGCTGAAAATTTCAATTGCAAAACTGCGTAAATTTAAAATTGCAAAAATTTTTAATTGCAAAAAATGTGCATCATATGCACGTTACGTGATGTTTATTATTATTTGTTGTTATTGCTTATTTGAATAAATAAAAACGCGTTTGTCAAAACAAATGGAAAAAAAACTATATAATAAAGCGGAGTTCATAGAAGTAGTAAAATAAAAGTATTTTTTTGCACAATTTTCATGAAATTCAAAGATACTTTTGTTTCTGATAAAACTAAATCAATTTTTATTTATTTTTTATGTTTAAAATTCATTAGAAAGAGAATAAAATTTTGGATAATATAGTTTATTATTATTTTAAAATTAATAATTGATTTATTTTATTTTATTTTTTTTTTAAGACATTTATTTATCAAAAAAATTCAAATTCAAATTCAAATTACAAAGTAAAAAGAAAATCCCAAAAAAGGTTACAAAAGTAGAAAAAATAAAGTAAAAGCTGCTTAGCCTTTCTCGAAGGAGTAAACTAACTTCAACTAAACCAACTGGGTGTCTCGTCACATTCAACTTTAACTGCTTAAAGAAGAAAGATCAGTACATGACAAAAGAAAAAGAAATTCATTTGAGACAAATAGTTTTCACTGCGTTAAAAAGAAGACAAGATCTGCCATGAGTAAAAAAGTTAGAAAATAGAGTTAAATAGTTCATATTATATTCATCTATTGGTGTAGAATACAAAGTAAAAGTAATGCCTAACCCTGTAAGAAGTAACTAAAAAAATTATTAATATATAATTGCAGAATATTAATAATAAAAATCAAAAAATTCACTTATCCTTGATTAACTTCACAATGATTAATAATGAAAATTAAGATTACTAGGATCTCTGAATATTTCAGCTAAAAGGCAAATTCAATTAACAAATTAACGAATTAACACAAACACGACCTCACAAATCTCACCACGTGAAAATATTTCTAAAATAGATCTAATAAATGACGTTTTTAAGCCTTTATTTTTTATTCGTTATACGATCAATGCGAAAAAAACAAATACAGCTAATTTAATTCTATTATTTTTCTTTTCTTACACTATTTCTAATTTCATTCAAAATCATATAATATTAATGAGCTTCATCATCGTATATATAATACAAATTCTAACTATTGCAAAATTTAAGTCGCCGGGGGTTCTTTGATATAATTATATCAAAGAACCCCCGGCGACTTGAGTTAGGTTATGACGGTGATGACAT